TTTGTTTTGCGTAAACTAGAAAATCACTATTTCTTAAATTATTTTCACAATTAGTACAATAACTGACTTCTTTAAGAATGGATTTAATAAGTTCTTCCCGATTGTCTAATAACGACGCGTCTATTGATTCCTCGGTAACATTATCTTCTGTAATCAACTCAGGTATTTCTTTATCATTATTATCGTGCATATTAACATTATGTTTTAAACATTTTTCCAACGAAAATAATAGAGGATCATTATCAGAAACTTCGCAATTACTACCAATTATAGAAACCGATTTCATATTATTAACAAGTAAAGTAAAAAATGATTCTTCAAATTGCCGAGGTATCGGATTTATATTACGAGCAGAATGACTTCTAATTAGACCAAAAAAATTTTCTAAAGGATCCTGATTAATATTACGCGTATCTAACTTATTAAAATTATAGTTCTCATGAACAATCTGCCATAATTTTTGAAAACTATCTATAGTGAAATTCCAGTTTACTAAAGTTGGTACCGATTTAACAATTTCACGAGAAATTTTTTCAATATAAGACATATTACGTAACATACTTTTTGCTGTCACCCAAAACTCATGATGATTACTATTTTCCATTACCGGACATCGCAGCTCATTATTATCCGTCTTTTTATCATCTCCATTTACAGAATCAAATAAGTCATTAAAAAAGTTTACTGTTTCCGCTGTTGCGATTCCTTCTTCAATATTGATTCTAAGTTCCTTATCTTCTATAGTTACAACACCTGCAAACAATGCAAACACATATTAATGTAAATATTTTTCCTTTATAAACAAGTTTTACTTGACATATGCAAGTAATACATTTATAATATTAATATTGATAAATATTTTTAAAAGAAATATTTAATATTTTTATTAAATAAATATTTTATATTTTTTCTTTTAATTATCTATAAATAATACTTACAATTTGATCTTGTCAATGTTTCAATGGCACTAGCCATGGTTCCACTGAGGACTTGTGTTGCATGTTTGACACGCATTTTCTTAATTTTATCTTCTATTATGTGTTCCGCTGTTAATTTTTTTAAAAGTGGTCGGATTGTATTAATTTTTCTGTCGATTATCCATGCTGTTTTTATTACGTCCCACGATGCTATTTTGTCTGGTTTATTATCTTTCCAATTAAAAATTAGATCCTTTGTTAACAGATTATTCCTTATACCTTTAATAAGATGTGGGGGATCGTATAATGGAATAATTTCCGTATCTTCAATTTCAAAGGTTTGACCTATTAACAAATAAATAAAGAATTAATTGTTGTAGTTTGTTTTAAACAAAACAAATACAATAAAAAAAACTTACGTCTTGCTCTATTTTGAAAATTTCTGTTCATGTCGGTACGTAACAATAATTCTTTTATCGCTGCTACGTTGGATGAGCCTTGATCGCATACAGTTGCAACAATGTGAAAGCCTGTATTTACTATTTCTTTTACATGCTCTTTAATACAACGAATTAATTGCGCAGTATTTGTTTGTTTCGAACAAAAATTATATGAAATTGGCATTTTCCAGCCAGAATTTAATCCACGCAACATAAAAACTAAAGCATGATCCGCGATTTTTCCCGTGCGATTGTTGCCCCAATCTTCAAGACCACAAATTATATCTTTACGAATATCATATGTAAGTTTGGGTTGTATAGATACCTCATCCCATATAAGAATACACACTTTATCTTTTATTGGCATTTTTAGAGCTATACTTTTTAAATGTTTCAAAATAAAAGGATTTAATCCAGGGGATAGAGGTATTTTGTGTAACACTAATTGCAAAGTTTGTATTGACGGAATTTCATTAAAAATGTTTCTTAAACTATTATATGCATGCTTTCCCATTGTTTTATACAACATTAATGCGAATGCTTTTTGTTTTGCAGTATACCGTTGTCCCTGTAAAATATTATTAATTTATAAAAAATAAAAAAATTATTTTTGCAAATTAAAACTACAAGAGTTACTACAGTTTACACACTACTATTACACACTACTACAGTTTAACAAAAATTATTTTTTTAAAAAGATATATAAATAAAAAATGGTGAAAAGATACTATTTTACAATTTATAAAACATGCATTCTCATTTACCTACAATAAATAATATATGTATGCTTAACTAAAACAAAGCATTATTATACATAACAGTATTATTAATTATATGTATACAAACAATTGCAGTTTACATACGTACATAAAGTGTTGTAATTTGACTATTTTTTTACAAATTAATATTTAATATTAACTAATTAATATATCTTAATTTATTATAGCACAAAAAATAATTTAATGTGCATAATTTAATGTGCATAAAAAGAAGTTGTAAATACATATATATACAGTTAAAACCAATAATTAGAAAAAATGCTGAAATATAGATATAAAGCGTTAAAATAGAAATATTATTTTAATATAATAAAACATAAATATTGTTTGAACAAGTTATTATACATAAAATAATATTTAAAAATAGTACCACACAAACGTGAAAATATAGAATTTAATGCAATAGAAAAAATATAGAAAAGATATGTTATATGCTTTGAATCCAGAAATAATTATTCCATATAAAAGAATCTCTAAAAGAATATTGTAGGAATATGAATAAAGACATTCAGCAAATATATAGCAAATATTACAGAATAACGCGTACAAAATACATTCTGGACCAGATGTAACATCATGTAAAGATGTATTTAATTTTTTTAAAACCTCATTATATAACCCAATTTTACACAATTTCGTACATGTATACATGCTATCTAAATCAGAATTAATTGTATGCAGATATTAATTTATATAAATTTACTTACGTATTCCGTTGTATGTT